ATATGTCTCAAGCTGATTGCCATAACCGTGGAGTTGAAGTTGTACTAAAGATTACCTTTTCTTTAAATAATAAGTCGAATATCGATTTCAACCCAATTACCCAAAATGACTACAGAATACTAAGAGGATACTGCGCATATGACATAACAATAACATATGACCCACAGACTAACTAGTAGATTCTACCTTCCTGTATAGGACAGTTACTATACTCTTTGATTATACCCGAATGACCTATGAAATAGTCATCATTTCATAAATTGTTTGTTTTTTATTCGAAAGCAAAAGTATCTATGTCTTTACAACATAGTCTGAGAAGAATTTTGTTCAGAAAATTCTATACAATAAAAGTTCGTACGTTACATTTGTGGGCGTAGTTACAGGGCCTGATTTACCCACAGGCTAACCAGGCTGGAGCCTATGGCGCAAGGTTCGACTGGGCGCTGATCTTGCCTTTGCAAGCACATCTCTGTACAGGGAGAACGACTCACTGGCCCACTCCGCAAAGGAGAAAATCGTCCTTTTAGGTTCTCTTTTTGAGTCCTATTCGACTCTCGATGACGGGGGTACACACTGCCAACCATACTGCGGTGTTATTGCTCCATTCTGGATATGCGGCTTACACAGCGTTCAGTGGGCAAAGCACTCCTCTCCCTGGATATCAAAATGTTGAACTGATGGAGTTCTTCCTATTGTGCTGAAGACGTGTGCTCTGGAATTAGCACCGGTTCTAATGCGTCTTTTCCGGTACTTCTACTCCCCAGGCGTAATCCTGAACTTATGGAAGACGGCTTATGTGCACTCAATCCCTAAAAAGGCGACCGATCAGACCTGTCCAACTACAGACTTATCACCATAGCCTCCATATTCTCCAAAATAATTTAATCCATTATGCATAATTCATTAATTTATTAACTATCAGCTCATAAGGTACATTGAGGACCATCAGCTGATTACTTGAATCATAGATGAGCGGAAGCATTGGAGTCCAAGAGGGAGGCCTTAGTCGATACTTTGGACATAGCGAAGACCTTCGATGGGTTTTGGTACAAAGCGCTTCTTTAAAACCTTTTTTCCAATGGGCTTCCCAAGAAATTGTGTACTTGGATTGTCAGTTTTATTGCACATCGGAGCATCAAGGTCGTAGTAGATGGTGCATACTCCGACTACGAGCCTATGAATGCTAGTATCCCACAAGTCTACGTGCTATCACCCACGCTGTTTTTTCTGTAATCAATTATATGTTGCTGTTACTAGTTGTAACTCTGGTGATGCTTTTTACACCAGCCGTGCTAATTAATATTTCTCGGGAACACGTCATTTAGCATTGGTTTAATAAAAAAATCTCGAATTGGGGCGACTCAAGTCCAGCTTCAAATTCAGAATTAACAGCTACTCCAGCTACCTCAGTCAGCATCAGAATCCTTGGCATATCGAATGACGTTTAGTTTCGCGGCCACTTGGAAGGGAAGGCTAAATTGGCCTATAAAAAGCTTCAGCAGGGTGGGACAGTATTTCATACACATCGTTAGCAACTTAACAAGGCGCAATTTCGCCCTCATATGGAGTACTGTTCTCATCTCTGAAACGGGGCGTCCCAGTACCAGCTCCTTCGACTTGACCGCATCCAGCAAAGAGTGACTCGAAACGGCTCGATTCACTGGCGCTGCGAAGTGATGTTGCATCCCATTGAATTTTCTATCGCATTTTCCACGGGGAGTACTTAGACAAATTGTTCGGACTAATTCCAGCCGCCAAATCCCACCAACGCATATCAGGACAAAACTCACCATCCACACAATTTGGATGTTTGTCGGTATACTACGACTGTTTGATTTACTGGTTTTCTCTGTTCAGTTGCCCGTAGCATCTTCAACCTCATCCGGAGACTATAGAAGAGTAACGCAGCTTACATACAGCTCATATTGAAGAAGCGATTGAGCGTAATCAAGAGTCCAAAGTTTTTGTCTGATATCCTTCTGTTGGAAAGAGTCAACTGTCTAAGTTGAAGACCAACTGTTTTCGGTACACCTGAGATTTTGCGTGCGTTTGCGATGTTTTGCAGACAGCTGCATACAACGACATTAGAGAGTTTGAGTAAATATCCAAGAAAAAATTTAATTCAACGTTATTCCGGTGATAACACAAACGTTACTCCAAACGAGATAAGAATTGCTCTCCAACAGTATAAATATGACAAGGAGCCGTGGTGAGGATGGAATTACAGCGGAGTTTCTGAATGTGGGTGGAGAATCAATACTTAAAGTCCTACAGAAGCTGTTCAATATTTTGCAATGACAACCCTATATAGCTGTAGCATTGCCTACCAACGTGGTAAAGCAATGCTACAACTATATTGTTACGCGCCACTATTAATGTCTTGTACATGGCAACACTAGTTACACTAGCGCCCCCTAGTGTCGAGTAAATGAAAGTATTGCGCGCCACTATTAATGTCTTGTACATGGCAACACTAGTCACACTAGCGCCCTCTAGTGTCGAGTAGCAGAACTAGGAGAGTCGAGATCCTTCCAGAAATTTCGGGACCGATATGTACTCGAACATTCTAGATGTCGCTACAGTAGAAGGTTCTGGAAACTATCTGTAGCCCTATATAAGACCGGTATAGACCACGACCGGGGCAGTATTGAATTGGCGATACAAGAGAATACTTCGAAGCGAAATAACGGCGAACTGTGTTTTATTATTAGTGTGATTTTAGATTGTAATTAGTGTTGTGTAATTAAAGTGTCAATTTTGGTAATTCAATCGGCAGTTTTTAATTGTCTCGAATCCCAAGCTCGTAACAATTGGTGTCAGAAGTGGGATCAAATATGCCGATTTTACCTAAAGACGACACGGAGGGTATCCGTACCCGAAGTCAACGCCAACAGGAGACGGACCAGAGACGATTTGGTAATGCAACGCCGCAAACGTCGGAGGGCCAGTTGCTAACCACGGAGGCTGGCCCGTCAGCAGCTCCTGCATCTGCAGCACCTGACTTGGGTGCTCTGATGATGATGCTGCAGGAACAGGCCCGCCGACAGGAGGAACAGGCCCGCCGACAGGAGGAACAGACCCGTCGGCTGGAAGAGCAGCTGCAGCGCGGTATGGAAGAACAGATGCTCCTCAGGAAGGACCTTCACGCTACCTTCGGGAAAGAGATAAAGGAGGTGAAGGATAGGGTTGCTCAACATGACAACCGCCTGTCGGAAGCTGAAACCCGAATCGACCAAGTGAACAATCGGGTTGACAACGTGATGGCTGATGTGAAGAAAACGCTGGACGACCTCAAACTTGGGGATGGAATCACAGCTCCCGTGGTAGCTACAACACCTTCGCTACGTGGATTCAAAGTGCCGCCGTTCGACGGGAGTTCTTCCTGGTCGGCCTACAAAATCCAGTTCGAGGCTGTCATGAAAGCGAACGGCTGGAATAAAAGTCAGGCCATGACTGCTCTCACCCTAGGCCTACGCGACCAGGCCTTAACTGTTTTGGAAGCGCTCGGTAAGGAAGTGACTTACGAGCAGCTCCTTGAGGCATTGGAGGCGAGATATGGCGATGCTCACCTGGAACACGTCTTTCGTGCGCAGCTCAAAGATCGCGTGCAACGCAGTAACGAAAACCTGCAGCAGTGGGCCCTTGAGGTGGAGAAGCTGGTTCGAAAAGCGTACCAGTCTGTACCTGTGCTCATTGTAGGGAACCTGGTGCAGACTTTCATCGACGGCATCCGCGACCTTGAAGTCAGAGCTGCTGTGAGGCTTGGGCACCACCAGACGCTTAAGGACGCCCTGACCCATGCACTGGAGGTGGAAGCCGTGCGGCAGGATCATCGTTCCCACCGCGTCAGGGAGGTTGCAGCAGCTACAGTTCAGGACCGCAATAAGGGCTATAACCCTAGGTGCTACGGCTGTGGGGAAAGGGGCCATCTTCGATCCAGCTGCCCTAAACGAACTGTAGAAAGGGAAGGTGATCGATCTCGAGAGGGTAGTGCGGATAATAGCACCGCCCAGCAGCAGCAGGGAAACGAGTAAAAGCCAGGACTGCGGGGCGGGTGCTGGCTGATGTTAAAAGAGCCCCAAGGATTTCGATCTCACAAACCCATGATGGGAACAGCCTAATCATCAAGGGCGAAGTCAACGGAACGCCGTGTAAACTGACCATAGACACTGGAGCCTCTCGCACGGTTGTCAGTTCCCAACTTATAAGTCGGTTCCTTGGGGACTCCGCATACAACCGAGAACGCATTAATTTGGTGACAGCCACCGGTCAGCGCATACCCGTCCGTGGAGAGAAGGAGATGGAGTTGAAGCTAGGCAACATGATCTACCTGCATAATGTCATCGTGGCTGATATAATGGACGACTGCATCCTGGGCCTAGACTTTATGAGGAAGAATTGTTGTGAGATCGACGTTAAGCAAGGTGTTTTGAAATGTGGACAAGAAGAACTTTTCGTGGAAGGGGCGTTACCAGGGAATGTCTACAGCCTTAAGAAGATTGTTCTTCCGCCGAGATCGGAAACGATTGTGCCGGTTAGTCTTCCTCGGAGTCCTGGGCAAGCCCATCGTTGTGTACTCGTGGAAAGGGTAGACAATGACCTTCCATGGAAAGTGGCTCGAACCTTGGTCAGAACCACCGACATCTCAGGAGTACGTGTGTTGAACCTTTGTGATCAGGAACAGATTATAGAAAAAGGCACATTGGTTGGTACTAGTGAGGAAGTGGATTGGTTGCGTCGATCTATCGACCGGGACCCCCAGCAAGGATGGACAAACGATAGTGACCACACTTTTGGAAGACTGTCGCAGCGTTCTTTCCCCGAATGAAATGGTCAAGGCGAAGAAGTTGTTACTCAAGTACGCCAATGTTTTCTCGTCAAACGAAGCTGACATAGGAAAGACTGGCTTAGTTCAACACAAAATAAACACAGGACAAGAATTGCCTATTCGTCAGCGGCCAAGAAGATTGCCTGTAGCACGTGAAAAGGAAGTGGAAACCATGATTGAGGGAATGGTGAAGGATGGTGTTATTGAAACTTCATCTAGTCCATGGTGTTCACCTGTGGTGCTGGTAAAGAAGAAGGACGGCAGCATGCGGTTTTGTGTTGACTATCGCCGCCTGAACGACATTACAAAGAAGGACAGCTATCCCTTGCCAAGAATTGATGACACGCTGGATATGCTTACAGGCGTAAAGTGGTTTAGTACGCTAGATCTGAAAAGTGGCTACTGGCAGGTTGAAATTGACCCTAAGGACAAGGAGAAAACTGCATTCTCCACAGGAAAGGGTCTGTGGCAATTCAAAGTCATGCCGTTTGGATTGTGCAATGCTCCAGCAACGTTTGAAAGGTTGATGGAGCTTGTACTTACCGGGCTAATTGGAGATGCTTGTCTGGTCTATTTGGATGACATCATCATCGTAGGCCGTACGTTTGAGGAACACCTTCAAAACCTGGAACGCGTGCTCATGAAGATCCAGAGTGCCAACCTCAAGTTGAGTCCAAAGAAGTGCTCACTATTCAAACGGCAAGTTAGTTTTTTGGGGTATGTAGTGTCGGAAGAAGGTATCCGCACGGATCCAGAGAAAATTGCTGCTGTCAAGGAGTGGCCGGTCCCAAAAGACAAGACACAGGTTAGAGCATTTTTGGGTTTGTGCTCTTATTATCGGCGATTTGTGAAGAACTTTGCAGATATAGCCAAACCTCTGCACAAGCTAACCGAGGAGAAGCGACAATTCTGCTGGGATGAAAGTTGCGATATTGCATTCCAGGAGCTCAAGAACCGCCTGTGCAAAACACCTATTTTGGGGTACCCTGATGCGGGCAAGGAATTCATAGTTGACACAGACGCAAGTGATATAGGACTTGGCGGTGTGTTGTCTCAACGGAATGGTGATCAAGAGATTGTGATAGCGTACTTCAGCAAGTCGTTGTCAAAGCCGGAAAGGAACTATTGTGTCACAAGACGGGAATTGCTTGCTGTGGTAAAGTCCTTGCAGCATTTTAGCAAATATCTTCTAGGGCGGAAATTCCACTTACGAACTGACCATGCTGCACTGAAATGGCTATTGCAGTTCAAAAATCCGGAAGGACAAGTTGCGAGATGGATAGAACTACTGCAGGAATACGACTTTGTGATCGAACATCGCAGCGGGAAATCTCATGGCAATGCAGATGCATTGTCAAGAAGACCTTGCCCTGAAGATTGCAAGCATTGTACTAGGCAAGAGGGTAAGGAAGTGGTATCTGTGAGAATGCTCAGGACAGACCAGCTCAGCAATGAGTGGAAGGATAGCCTACAACATGCACAGCAGGAAGATTCGGACATTAAGCCGATTCTGGAATGGATGAAGGCCAGTGCTCCTAAGCCCAAGTGGAGCGACGTCTCAGCAATGAGTTCGACCACGAAAAGCTATTGGGCCCAATGGGACAGCTTGCTGATTCAGGATGGAGTCCTGTGCCGTAAATGGGAAAATGGTCGGGGAGACAGGTGTCATATGCAAATGGTTGTCCCTAAGGCTAAAGTGCCGGATATTCTACAGCTGTACCATAGTGGTTGTTCAGGAGGCCACCTGGGAGTTAAACGAACTCTCCTGAAGATCCGAGAACGGTTTTACTGGGTCCACTGTCGTGACGATGTCAAGGACTGGTGCCGCAAATGTACAAGTTGTGCGGCTGTAAAGGGACCTCAAATTCGTAGTAGAGGCGCATTGAAATTGTACAATGTTGGTGCACCATGGGAGAGGATAGCCATTGACGTTGCGGGGCCGTTTCCAGAAACTGAAAGTGGTAACAAGTATTTTATGGTAGTGATGGATTACTTCACTAAGTGGCCAGAAGTCTTCGCCATTCCAAATCAAGAAGCTTCAACAGTTGCAGATAAACTAGTTCATGAAGTCTTCTGTCGTTTTGGAGTACCTTTAGAGATTCACAGCGATCAAGGAAGGAATTTTGAGTCTCAAATATTCCAGGAAACTTGCCGAGTTATGGGTACTCAGAAAACACGAACAACTTCTTACCACCCACAATCTGATGGAATGGTAGAAAGATTTAATCAGACATTGGAGAGGTACCTAGCAAAAGTTGTGGAAAAACGGCAACGAGACTGGGACAGGCACATACAACCGTTTTTGTTGTCATATCGAAGCGCTGTTCACGAAAGTACATCAGTGACACCAGCTTTCGCAAACTTTGGGAGAGAATTGCGGCTGCCTGCAGACCTGATCACCGGAATACCACCTGATGCCCCACGCAGTATAACCGATTATGCAAATGACTTGCGGAACAAAATGAATGACATTTATGAGCACGTCAGACAGACGGGCCAGCAAACGTCTGAGAAGATGAAAACACGGTATGACCGCAAAATGAACAACAAGGGCTTTGATGAAGGTTCACTAGTGTGGTTACACAATCCAGTTCGCAGCAAAGGGAAATCTCCTAAGCTTCAAGCTAAATGGGACGGACCGTACCGGATTGTGACAAGGATCAATGATGTAACCTACCGGATACAGAAAGGTGCCAGAGGTACTCCTAAGATTGTCCATGTGGATCGACTGGCGCGTTATTATGGGGCCAATAATGCTCGGGACGAGCATGTCTTAGGAGGGGGCAGTGTTACGCGCCACTATTAATGTCTTGTACATGGCAACACTAGTTACACTAGCGCCCCCTAGTGTCGAGTAAATGAAAGTATTGCGCGCCACTATTAATGTCTTGTACATGGCAACACTAGTCACACTAGCGCCCTCTAGTGTCGAGTAGCAGAACTAGGAGAGTCGAGATCCTTCCAGAAATTTCGGGACCGATATGTACTCGAACATTCTAGATGTCGCTACAGTAGAAGGTTCTGGAAACTATCTGTAGCCCTATATAAGACCGGTATAGACCACGACCGGGGCAGTATTGAATTGGCGATACAAGAGAATACTTCGAAGCGAAATAACGGCGAACTGTGTTTTATTATTAGTGTGATTTTAGATTGTAATTAGTGTTGTGTAATTAAAGTGTCAATTTTGGTAATTCAATCGGCAGTTTTTAATTGTCTCGAATCCCAAGCTCGTAACAATATTATGGTTATAGCACGAATAAGTTTTCTAAACCGGGGAAAACTATGCAGTATACCAGCGTGGACTTGTGCTTGTTTGTCATCCTTGTTCCTCACCTTTATTCTATAAAAAAGCTGACGTCACATATTATATCCGAAATTCTATATCGCTGCATTGGAATACATATCGCTGTATTCGCTTCAAACCATTAATTTAAGCTGTAATACAAGAGCAGTTAATCCACCTGCTGCAAAATTCCCGACAAAACTACCATAATCAAGGAGTATAGTTAGCATAAGGTAAAAAAGATCAGTGATATTATGCCGTGTCATGTCAGGTTACTAACTTTAAAACCTCGAAAATTGTTTGTTGTTGTTATAACTAAAATTGACGTTTAAATATGTGTAATGTTTTCTTTATTTTTGTTATCGAATTAAAGTATATGGATAACACAACCTATAAATTGAATAAAACTACTTTTACAGCTTCTATCACGTTTAATTAACTTATTTTTTTATTAATTTCCGACGTTTCGGGTACTTTACAGCACCCATGGTCACGGGGAATGAAGTGATTGACATCCCGATGTCAGAGTTAACCCGGAGTACCTTCAGCTTTTTAATTATTAATTTTGGTCCGATCTACGCAGAATGAACTTACTGTGTCTTGAAGTCTTGCAGTGGTATGCTTGGGTTTAGTTTTAATTTTATTAATTACAGGATCCCTAGCTTGTGGTCATACCCATCCTCCCTCTCTATTGAAATTAGGATGTGTTTTGATTTCAATAGCCTCAAGTTCATCCTTGGCAGGAATCGATGTACTTTCGCGAGAATTTGTGGTTTATCAAATCTAATGTAATGGCGGGGGCCGTCTAGGATATGATCACAAACTGCAGACTTCCCGGAACGTTAGTGTTTTACGTCAGCTATGTATTCTTTTACGCTGGTTTTAATAGATTGCTTTGTTTGCCCGATATATGAGAGACCACATTCACAATTAAGCTTGTACACTCCTGCATCTTGTAGAGGAATATTGCACTTGACGGATGGTAAGAACTGACTAATCTTCTTCGGCGACTTGAAGAATGTTCTAATAGAAGCTCGTTTCAAGATGTAGCCGATCTTGTCTGTGACACCTCTGACATATGGTAGTACAGCAGGCACATGCTCGACTGTGGCCGGCTTCACTCGGTCATTGTGATGGAGGCGCGAGACCCAAAGCTTGTTGTCGTGCAAAAGCTGCTTGACATGCTGAAGCTCGGTGGCCAGATGTTTGCTGTCACAGATCCCTCGTGCTCTCTGTAACAAAGATTTGCCCACGGTAGCAACTGTGAAGGATAATGGTGGGATTTACCGTTTATATATCGGTCCGTATGAGTCATTTTTCTATACACAGTGTGACCTATGGTGTTGTTAGGATTTCGAATGACTAACACATATAGAAAACTAAAGAATTATTTGCCTCTAACTCCATAGTAAATTGAATTTTAGAGTTTATGGAATTAAGATATTCTAAAAATGCAGTTACTTTGACTGATGGTAAAATTGTGAAAGTATCGTCTACGTACCATACTTCTGAGCCATCCATCGACTTCCTGCATGTCTTACCAGGTCGTCAACTCAACTAGTCAACCTTTGCATACCGGTACGAGGCTGCCACTTGAGAACCTTTCTTGCGCACTGGTTGTTGGTCCTTCGATATGGCCGGCCCGTTGCTCTTCAGTCCGTTGGGCTATGTTGGTTACTCTAGTTCTACTGCGGATATCTTCATTTATAAGTTTATGATATAGGTCGCTAAACGATATAGAGCATCCTTATATGGTCAGCAATGAAGGACCACGCCTTAGATCCATTAGTTATCACTGGCAACCCACACTGGTAGTACAATCTCGTTTTCAAGTTTTGAGGAATACCTGACAAGATGGGTCGTAATCTCCCGAACGCTGTCCAGCCGAGTTGAAACCGTTGATTGACCTCTCACTCGAAGTTGGACTTACCTAGTCGCCGATTAGTAGTCGGACAATTTGTCTCAGGTAAACATACTCGTCAACAACTTCGAGCTTAGTGCTCCCAAAAACTACTGGCGTAGGTGTAACAGAAACAGAAACAGAAACTTTTTTATTCAATATAGATTATAAATAATACTTATTGAAAGTCACTCTTTTGTTTAATTACCACTGTTTCGAAAAAAAACCTCTGTCCTGGGAAGAACAAGCAAGAAACCCAGCGGGACTTTTTTTTTAAATAACACCTTACAATCATGGATGTTTTTTTTTTTATAGGATAAGGGTGACAAACGAGCACATAGTCCACCTGATGGTAAGTGGTTGCTGCGGCCCATAGACATCTACATCTATCCTCTGTTACAAATCAAAATGTAGATGCGTTGTCACCCGTGAGGACTAAGATGGAATGCCTCATTTCCAGTAAAAAGGGCCTCCGGCCACCTGCACTCACCAATTTGTTGTGTTGTTAATTGTTACACAAATTAACAACACAACAAATTAGAAATAGCTGAATAGTGTGACATGCACGTTACAAATAACCTTTGTTTTGTCCATGTTCATTTTAAGAACTATTCGTTAAGAAACACTATAGAGGTCATTGAGCATAGTGCTTAGGTCCATAAGCGATTTTGGCATAAGGACGCAAATCTAAGGTGAATGATGTACTCGCCATTAATGTTAATACCGTATTCTTTCCAGTCCAGTAGCTTGAAAGCGCCTTCCAATGCAGCGGTGAAGAGTTTCAGGGATATAACGTCACCCAGTCTTACACCTAGAGAGTAGAGTAGAGTAAGTAAAGGGAAAAAATGGCTGGATCTTTAAAGCATTTCTTGCAAAACAATAAAGATTCCACTGAGACTATCGATGCGACCGAATCTCAAGATTCTAAATCCGTAATATCAGTAACCGTGAGTGGACCATCTGAAATTTCAACAGGGGCGACTACGGTATCATCAGGTCCTGCAACAAGTGGCGGCGGTTGTAGCAGCAAAACAGCTTCTACTGATGCAGAGCCAGATGAAGCAATGACACCATCCTCGTCTACAGCACTTGAACAATCCACTTCAGATAATTCAGCTTGTGTAAGAAGTTCGGTAATGTCAGCTACCGAAATACCTGCTGCAAGTGACACTTTCGATGAAGGCTTTAATAAGGCTTGCGTCGATATAATTCCATCCGACCCCGGTTTGTGGCCCGAAATAATCACCAATGAGATAGCTAGAATATTGGTTAAACGTGGTCCGCCCTTGATAGACATCAGTTTTAGCTTTCCTAGTAATAAAGATAAGAGAAAGTTTTCGTACAAATACTTTGTAAGAAGTCTAGCAAATGGAGAAAAAGTCGAAAGGACTTGGCTTATTTACTCTATTTATAAAGGTACTGTATTTTGTTTTTGTTGTAAGTTATTTTAAGAAATTACTTTTCGAACATGATAATGGAAATTTCCTAAAAGCTGTTGAGGTGATTGCCTCTTTTAATTCAGTGATGAGACAGCACGTTAGCCGAGTGTGTAACTCCCAAACAAAATGTGTTAAAATGACTCTGAATTGAATTATTGTCGTCTAAAGTAAGAAATAATATTTTAGAAATGGTTCGCAGTTCAAGATATTTTTCAATAATATTAGATTGTACACCAGATACTAGTCATACTGAGCAAATTAGTCTTGTTCTGAATACTGGACTCTACAGGGAAAGGCATATATTACATTTGTGACAGAAATTTTGAAAAAATTAAATTTGGATATAAAAAATATTAGGGGACAAGGTTTTGATAATGGTGCAAATATGAAGGGACAGCATGTTGGGCTTCAAAAACGCATTCTTGACGCGAATCTGAGAGCCCTTTTTGTACCTTGTGCGGCTCATACTTTGAACTTAACAGTAAATGACGCTTTTAAAGTGTCAGATGCTACAATAAACTTTTTTAATCTTGTGCAAGAGTTACATAATTATTTTCGTCATCCACAAAAAGGTGGGATATTCTGAGAAAAAATGTCCCTGGGTTAAGTTTAAAGCCTCTAAGTGAGACAAGATGGTCCAGCAGAATTGATGCAATAAAGCCCCTTAAACTTTATTTAATTAAGGTTTGCGAAAGTATTCTAGAAGTAGCTGAAGATAATTCCTTTCACATTGATGCAAAACATAAAGCGAGTTCCCTCTTAACGTCTGTACAAAAATTTCAATTTATTTGCTGAATTATTATTTGGCATGACGTTTTATTTCACATAAATAGTGTCAGCAAACAAATGCAAAGTGCTACAATTAATATTAAAGTATGCCAAACCTACCTAAAAAATTTAGTTGATCACTTCCAGCAATATAGATCTGACCAATCGTTTGAAGAAATTCTTGTACAAGCGAAAAAAGTAGCACTCTCTCTCGAAATTGAAGAAGACTTTCCACCGTTACCAACGGTCAGGAGGAAATTTAAACCAAAACTGTTTGACTATGAACACCGAGATGAGATCCCTCATGATCCAAAAACTGCCTTTAAAATTAGTTAATTCTTAAAAATTATAGATCATACATTAAGCTCTCTAAAAACCGATTTGACTTATTAAATAAGTATGATAATATTAAC